AAAGCTGTACTTTACCTGCCTTCTGGACAGTTCCATTTACATGCTTAAAGGGGCCTTGAGCTCAAGATCCATAAAACTCTTACTTAAAAGATCTCTTCCCCAAAGCTACTTTGTAAAGATTGGCTGGCTGAGAAAATGGCACCAGCTTCTATCTATCAAATTCATGGCAATCATTTTAGACTTTTTCTCTGAACCCTTATTGGTGACTGATTCATTTTTGATTCTTATTTATATTAGAAATTCTTGCACCAATTGCTTTTCCTAGCACTATTGACTTAGTCATTTCCTACTGATTTATCCAGACTTTTACAATAATCTCTTCAGCAAAACTGGTTTAAAATCATTGTGTAATACTTGATAAATACTAAATGCTTTGCCATAGAATGAGAGGTGTCACAAGGTCTGTGCCCTTCCAGCTTTCTTTCTCACATGACCGTCCTGTCACTATCCAGTCATTCTAGTCTTTGGGTTTCACAGAAAGTCAAGTTCCTCCTTAAGAATTCTTCCATGTACCTGTCCATCCTTTAGATCTCTGGCTGCTTCTTTCAATTGAGGTTATTTTCAACATCCTTTAAAATTTTTTTTTTGTGGTACCGGGAATCGAACTTGGGTCCTTGCGCTTGCGAGGCAGGCCACCGAACTGCTTAGCTAAATCCCCGGCCCCTAAAACTTTTTATTATTAATTTTATTGGTACATTTTTGGCATACAATATAATGACATCCATCATTCGAAATTTGTACCTTTACATAATATATCCTGGTTTTTATTTTTTCCCCATCCCCCTCAACATCCTTTTTTTTCTTCCACAAATTGTTTGCATTTTGTACTTGTACTACATTATAGACCCCAGAAAAGCAGATTTTGAGTCTCTTTAATCAGCACCAAGGGCTCAGTATTTGACACATGCCTGTCAAACAGTGGAGGCATATTAAATAGTTCAATAAACAAATATTTTCTATGTGTTTCCTCAAAGTTCATGTATTGGAAATGTACTCCCAAAATTCATATTTAAATGCTATTCAGGGGGTTGGGTTTTGGGAGGTGATTAAATGAGGTCATAAAAATGGGGCCCCCAAGTTGATAGATGTGGCTTTATAAGACACAGTGTGCTCTGTCTTGCCATGTGATGCCCTCCATCAGGTTATGATGTCATATTAAGTATGAAGCCCTCACCAGATGCCCCTTTATATTCCTGGGCTTCCCAACCTTCAGAATCATGAGCCAATAAACTCATGTTTATAAATTACACGATAAATTATAATTAGCAGGTACCCTGCTATCGAAACAAAAGATGGACTAAAATAATATTGAATAAACAGTTTATTGTCTTTTATAGAAGTATGTTTTTGTGTGTCCATTTTGATGTCAGGTGACTTGGGAGTTGTGACAGTGAGAAAAAATTGAGGGAAAGAGGTAAAGAAAAAATGAGTGAGAAAGAAGAGTTGTAAGAATTACTAAAGACAGTAATGGAACAATGAAAAGGCAGAGAAGGGCCTTGTAGTGGGTTGAATGGTGGCCACACCAAAGATAAATTCATATCAAATCCCTGGTAGCTGGGAGCATTACTGCATTCTTTCCCTAGGGTTGCTAGAACAAAGTACTATACACTGAATCGTAAAACATTTGATTTCTCATAGTTCAGTTTGTTCCCGCTAAAATTATGGAGGAAAACTGTTTGTTTCTCTCATAGCTTCTGGTGGTTGCTGAGCATTTATGGTATTTCTTGGCTGGTAGACACAATAATCCAATTTCTGCTTCCACCTTCACATAGTGTTCTCTGTGTCTTTTTTTTTTTTTTTTTTTTTTTTTT